GTTTATTCAACTTCATTTATGGTGGTGCGTAGCTAAGTGCCCTTCTCGTGAGGTCCACAGCCTCCGCGTACTACTTGGGCACGTCTCTCTGTTGTCTTTCGATTTGTAACTGTTGGACAGTTCCTGGAAGCTGCCGTTGCCTTGCCTCTGTTGTATGGACGATATGAATTGGGCTATTTTCAGTACTTATTTTGTCGAAGAGTACGCTCGTGAAAAGAAAGCGGCTGAGGCGATGACGGAGCTGATCAGACGTTTGGAAAAACCGAACCACATGGCGCCCAGCTCCGGAGCAGCGGCTGAGCCAGCCAGCAGTAAGTTGCGTAACAGCGCGCTCATTCAGTTAGCTAGCCTGTAAAGGCATCTCAGACACTTATTTGAATAAATCCATTTTGCGGGCATAACACTTTCCAGAGCTGTAATGGGAACTGGTGCTTAGGCACGGCCAAGATGCCCCGGACGGGCACTCCGCACAACACTGGACTGTTTTTTGTCTGCTTCCTGGTGATGATAAATTTTCGAACCTTGGCGCATGATTTACGTCTGAAGAAAGGCCCGATGACTATCGAAGCGAGTGTGTCATTGGTCATTTGACTTGTCTTGAAAGATTCAAAATTGAGAGATCCGTTCTTATTTAGACAACGCTCACTCTGTGACTAGCGATGGAGGCTTTGACACTGATGAGGAGTCGGTCGACGAATTCGTGGCACATTCAGCAAATGAGATTTCGGTTGGTTTTGGCAGCTTGTATTTGTACCCTAAGACGGTCTGTGGTTCACTGGGCTCCTGTTAGAATTTTCATGCAAAATTTATCTCACTGATGTAAAAAAATCCAATGAATCTTGTGGGAACTAATTCTTTCAGGATGATTCGACGCAGCAGTCGGTGCCGATGGATAGTGAGCAGTCTTTTTTTGCAGCCTTCTCGCCAACTGATTCGCCAGAGGTTTCGGGAACGGAATAAATTATGAAACGGCTCTGTAGTGAATAAATCCGGGACATATCTATAATTTTGCTTCCCCTATGAACCATTTATTACTTTATACTGACTTGCGGGCGAAACTTGTCTGCATAATTGTAAATGAATGTCAAGTTTCTCGCAGTTTCCTTTCTAGCATATACACATACACATGCACATACACACAGACACACACGCACACACACAAT